GTCCTGATCCAGGGAGGGTCTGTGTTGTACCAAATTCTTCTTAATAATAGACTTTACTGTGCTTCTAGGCATTGATAAAGCCTTTGAATTTATTGTGTCCATCTCCTGACTTGTGCCTGTCCACAACTTTATCCTGGAGATCTTTTGATGGGTGCCCATAGTTGATTGTTTGCTTCAGTTGCACTACCAAGGACTAAAATGCTCCAGGAAAGCTCTTTTCATGCTGAGCTAATCAAAATGACCACAGCTGATCACAGTTGAAATCAAATGACTTTGTGTGCCATTGAGAAGGTGATTAGCTACAACTGATTGAGTTTACAAATCATTTTTAGGAGGAGGGTGATCCTTTTTCCAGCTCAGTGATTCAGTTTTTTTTTTTTCTGACATGTTGGTGTTATATCTTTCACTTGGATGTTATAAGTTGCACTGAGTAAATACAGCTGGATAAAACAAAAACTGTGTCCGTCTTCATTTCAGCTGCAAAGCAACAAAATGTGATCATCTTAAAGGGGGTGATTATCTATACCCACTGTAATTATGATGTATTTTGTATTGTAATGAGGCCTTACCTGGTTAATATTTGCAGATACTTTATCAGAGTTTTTAGGTTTAACATGACACTTTATGGGTATAATATGTGTTTTATTGCCAAAGTATCTAGAAAAGTTCATCAAAATAAGCATTGCGTGTTGGCGTGACAATGCGTTGTAAAAAATAAAAGTGAAGTTTTATTTAGGCTTAATTTAAATCTTGTTGGACAGACATTTAGATAAATGGATGGATGGATAGACTGATGGGTGGATGGATGTGTAAAAATATTTAAAAAAACAGATTGATGGATGGATGGATAGATAAAAAAGATAGATAATCAGATGGATGGATAGATAAAAAGATAAAAATATGGATGGATGATAGATAAAAAGATAGATAAGCAGATGGATGGACTGATAGATTAATGGATTGGACAGACGGATGGATGGATAAAAAGATAGATAAACTGATGGATTGATTGGATGGATAGATAGACTGATTGATAAATAGATGAATGAATGGATGCATGGGTAGATAGATAAAACGATAAACGTATGAAAGGATGGATGGATAGATAGATAGATAGATAGATAACAAGATAGATAAATAGATGGATGGACTGATGGATAGATTGATGGAAGGATGAAAAGATAAAAATGCATAGATGGATAGATAGGAAAGAAAGTAACCTACAGTCTCTCTCTCTCTTTAGGTATGAGTCAGAGTTCTCAGTCTGTCCAGTCTGGTTTGGTTCGTCAGTCTCCTGCTCGTGCGTCTGTCATCAGTCAGTCGTCCTCATATCGTCACAGCAGCAGCCGCCAGTCTTCACTCCGCACGTCTGTGACGGGTCTGGAGCCCTGCAGACGTTCCTCCAGCAGTCAGCTTTCTCTCCGCACGCTGCCAACCTCCCTCCAACTCCGGCTGGGCACCAATGCCTCAGCCGCCAACCCCGACCCGCCCGGCCCCTCCAGCTCCCTCTCCGCCCACTCCATCCCGCCCTGCAAACGACACACCCACACACTCGCCAGCCTGCTGGGAAACGAAGCCTTAGGGCTGGGGACAGACAACCATTCTCACCCCCACCATCATCTTCACTACATCCACCATCATCATTACAATCCCTCGCTGTCCTGTCTGAGAAGGGATGACATCTCCTACAGGGTGCAGGTGAGCATCTGGCCTTCTCGTATTTGGCCCTTTAAATGTGTGAAATTTGATGTTATAATGAAGCATATGCATGTATTGTTTGTAGATCGTGGATGTGAGTCAGGTGTTGGATGTAATGAATCATCCCAAGAGGAAGGAGCTGGTGTGGCCAGATGAGAGCATGAGACTAAGATCTGGACGCAACTTCTGGAGGGACTGGAGTCCCCTAGAAGGCATGGAGGGTCACGTGAGTATATCACACACCAGTGTTGTTATTGTTAACTGAAATTTTTGAAATTGAACTGAAATAAAATTATTGTAATTGAAATAAAATATATAAATAAAGTGAAGTAAAAAAAAAACTAAAATTAAAAATATTGTCTAAAAATAATACTAAATAATAAAATTACTAAAACTAAAAATAAATTAATGCTAAATTAAAAATGTTTTTAAAAAAAACAAATGTAATATATTTTCACGTATTACATTTCCATATAAAATATATTGTTGTATGAAGTAAAAAGAAATTGGAACAATTTCATATATTAACTTATATGATGTATGTGTATGTAACATATATTTATGTATGTGTATTAAGTAAATATAAAAGATAGACATGTTTTTTTTAATCTTTATTGTGTTAGGCCAGTGTAGACAGACAGACAGACTGGTAATATATGTAGCAACTATATATGTCAATAATATATTTTTATTTATATATGCAACTTTATTAAAACAACATACATACAAAAATCAGTTTGTTTTTTAAATAAATGTTTTAAATGCATTTATTACAAAACATATATAAACAGATTTTTGTATATATACTGTATGTTGTTATAATAAAGTTGCATATATAAATAAAATATATATTATTGACATATATGGTTGCTACATAATACCAAATAAAAATTATCATATAGATATTAGCATATGATTTAACAGATAAACTTATACCTTCATCTACCAAGAGAATGTACTTATGTGAACATTATTTATGGCCTTATAGGAAACATATTTGGCAATATCACTCTTGATATAGGGCAAATATGTGTCATATATTACATTTCTGTATGTGTCACACTCACACACACTTGGCTGCATCATTCCCTTGGAGTGATTTAGGATGTCATTAGATGTCTCTGTAGTTTTCCTGAGCCCATCTTAGTTGGAGGTCCACGGCACAGGTGATTTCCAAAATGCATGATAATTGAAGAATGTAGTTCCATTTTGATCATTATTTGTTGGGTGAGTCAGACAAATCCTGTCAAAGAACATATCCACTGTCCAGGTCATATTTCACACCAAAATCAAAAGGAAAAAATAAGAAATATATAGGCTCTTTGCATATTTTAAAATTATAATTAAGCATATTTTCCTAAATTCCCATTAGCTTAATGCAAAATAAACACACAAAAAAAAAAAGAAAGAACAAAAAAAAAGATTCCATTTTAATTATTTTTTTATCGGGTGAGTCAGAAAAATCCTGCCAAACAATATGTCCACTGTCTTAAGTCATATTTCACATCGAAATCAAAAGGGAAAAAAAATAGAGAATACTATGTATTTATATTCAAGCATGTTTTAGGACCATATTTTTGGACAGTTAAGCATTTTCCCCCCAGATTCACCCTACTTTCCTAATTTCCTACTACTCACTCTCTACATAGGTGGTTCATCGTTGGGTGCCTTGCAGTCGTGATCCGGTTAGTCGGTCTCACATTGATAAGACCATCCTGCTGGTCCAGGTGGATGATAAACTGGTTCCCATTATAGAGACGGGAGTGATTGAACTGGGGGCAGAAGTGTGAGGACACACTCATCTAATGTCAGGCCAGAGGAAGAATGAGGCCATGCTCACTTCCAGCTAGCTGCTGATCAGGGCGCAGGAAGCCAGGGAATCGTGCAAATGGAGAACATACACACTCACACGCGCTGCAAGAAGCACACTTGCTCAAATCTGGACAGAAAGCTGCCTTGCTTTGTGTTCCTCAGATATGCTGCATGAGAGATCAGCTCCTGTAAACTCTTCTCTCTCTTTTTCTCTCCTTTACGAGCAGCTGCGGTCTCATTGTTTTTTTAGGTTCTATGCATCTATCAGCTGTCTGTAAACACATGAAAACTCACAGGGAACACTACAAACGAGCTTGATGTACACGCAGAGAAGAGTTTTTTTTATTACAGCTATAATTAAGTTTTATTTTGTATTTCTGCCAAATTAAGTCAGGTGCACAGTGCTGCCCTGGACATGCAGTGAATCATGTGACAGACTGTTTTTTACTAGCTGCCAAGACAGACAGATGATCACGAGGATGATGATGATGATAAAACAGAAGCAGGTGCTTCTGATACAGAGCTCTCTTATGTCATTCCGTATTCTTCATCCTTGTTTTTTTTTTTTTTTGAGGATTCATTTGACAACAGAGAGGTGTTATGAGAAACTTTAACTTGCACTATGATTTGTTTTGTTTTTGATTTGCAGCTGTGCACTACTTTCTAAGATCACACCTTATTTATTCCTCTACGGTTTGAATCACCATGGTTACCAATGCCTTTGGAATGCAAAATGCGAAATCGACACATTCTTTTCTGCCATTTTGACAGTTATTTCTTTAGCTTGAGAACCGAAGTGGTTTTTAACCACATGTAGTTATGTATGAATATATAAATGTGTCTGTAAAAAGATTTGGCTTTAAATATTTATTATTGTATTTACATTTTGTTATATTGTTTTTCATTTACAGGACAAATAAAGACAATGCATAAATATTATTTAGTCCTGTTCCCAAGTGACTGATGCTATTCTTTTATGAGAAGGATGAATTGAAATGCATCTGGGGCATGAACTCATATTCATGTGAATGTGATTTGGGGATGAAGGTTGAAGCCCTTAAAAATAGCCATGAGACGACACAAACCAGAGAGTGAAAAAGCCACAAGGAAATGGCTCCATTTGCTGATCACTAATGTTTTTATACTTATTAAGTGCAGTGATTCATTGCTTTGGCTGTGATCACTCTCATAATCTGTATATCGGTACCATGTCTTTAGGATAACGAAAAGTAGTTAGTATATAAAGCCGATACCTCAAAATAGAAAAAAAGCCGATATCTCAAAATAGAAAAAATAAAGAGCTCTTTGGGAAAATGTTACATGTCACAGTGTGCTAAACCTGTTTAACTGGTGTCCTATTACACTTAAGTATTCTTATCAATTTGTGTTGAGAAACAGTGACAGGAGGAATAATTTCATAATATAACAAACTAAACAAGTCCTCACTCCTGATTGTGGAGTATAGTTTTCTTTGATATTTATATTTGCTTTATCAGATATTGGTAACACATTATGTATAACTAAGAAGCATTATTATAAAATTCTTTAAAAATCATTAATGGACATTCAAATAGTTATGAATATCTTGAAACTTTTGATAAGTGTTTGTGACAAAAAGCGTGTTTGTTAGTGTTATGGAAGGATGACTTGATTTGAGACATGAATGAAGTGATTTGGTAGTGTTCGTGCATTTTGGTAAGTGTAGTTTGCTGCTGTGCCAAGCTGAATGGAGTGCAATTTTTTTTTCAAAAAGTGACTTAAGTATTGAGAAATGTGTCCTAGTAATTACAAAAAAAACTAAGGAAAGTTATTATAAATTGTGCATGTTCCAATTATTAGTCGGGTTTCGTAAGTGATCCAGACATATAGTTTTTCTTGAGCTAAATATGCTACATTATATGAAACTTTTCTCACGTTCTTTTTAAAATAGCTTAGACTATCATGGGGTCTCTGATAATAGATATCAGAGATCATATTTGAAGGTCTATTAAAATATTGAGGGGACTTTTTGAGGAACAAGCTTGTTTGTGGCTGTCAACAGATGTGTACACCTGCAGAAGAATTTACAGCGAATTCTAGACACCCAGTGAAGGGACTTTTAATACTGGTGTAATAAATTATTGCTAAGATAAAAAGCACATTTGGTGTCAAAGGTTTCACAGTGATCTGTGAGTTCCAGAACAGAGTTTTTTTGTCATCCAAGTTAAATCTAGAATTATGAACGATAATTTAGAGTTTTACAGGTGTAATTCATAATTAAACCATTGTCTCAATAAGTTTGCCTAAAGACTGAGAATCAGTATCGGTAGATTACTTTAGAAGCTGCAGAAAGGATTTACCAGTGAGAAATAGTACAGATCATTATAGCCTGATCTGAAACAACAGTGAGTATCAGGTCTATTTGTATCAGCATTGCATGTAAAATAGTCTGTTCCTGGTTGCTATTAGGACACCTGTAAAAACAGCACAACAGGTGAGATCAACCCAGCTATAAAAATATGCGTTTTGTAGTGAAATAGCAGTCATATGACAAACGGATGACATGATCATGTGCTCGATTATTTTCTGCCCAGATAAAAAAAAAGAAGGGCAGGTATCTATGCTGAGGCTTCTCAGTAAAAATTATGAATAAAGTTTTTTCTAACCAATTATTAAATCCCCTAAAACAGCTGAGGCATTTCCCCTGAACGTACATAACGACTTTCCTTGTCAAATGGCAGACCACTTCAACGCATTACTCTTATTTCTACATCTTCGAAAAGCTTCCTCTGTTCCTGTTTTGTTTTCAGTCAAACTCGTTGCACATGACCGACTGGTCACGCGGTCAGTTGAGGCTCCGCCCAGGAGTCAAATGTGATTGGATGCTGCACGAAGCCGTGTTGAGCTGATTGGATGGCGCGTGGAGTCCGTTTGCGCTGATTGGCTGCTTCGCATGTGTCTTCGTAGCATAGTCTGTAATAAAGCGTCGAGTAGCTCCAGAACAAGCAGCTCGGGCAGCGCCTACAGAACGGGTGAGAGCATTGAAACTACGATTATTTTTTATTTAATAATTACTCTACTCATTTTGTTTGGTTGTGGTTTATATAATTAATCAACTCCAGGGTAAATACCACGTTCAGCTAACAGGAGTACAGTTTAAATCCGCCCTATGGCCTGTGTTATTATTGTAGCCTGATGTCCTTGTTTATATGATGATTACGAGACCACTTACAAAAATATACCTTAGTAAACAGTCATTTTTAAAGTTACAGTAATTTATTTCCACAATTAGTATTTGCTACCATTATCATCTAAAATAAGACATTTAACCTAAACAAATGATAGAATCTTATTCTGTTTGAAGGAGATTTATGGTTTTATAGTAGTAACAATAACTGTATTAATTAACTATGGTTTATTTCTGTAAATATGAAATGTTCAGCATAGTGTGAAACTTTTGATAAATGAACTCAAAAGGTCACTCAATAGATCACAGATTCTAAAATTTCACACTTCATGCTTTATCTCTGCCTTACAGTAAACAGACTCTATATAGGGCCTGTGTTGACACATGATAAAGTCAACACTGCTTAATTTGCATAACTATAAAGGCTTAGGGAAAATGAAAGTGAGTTGGATATTTACAATATACCTATATTATAATATACATGTATATTATATTATTAGCAAAATGAAAGCCATTAAGTTAAGTACTTTTTGTAGTATGACAAATAAAAATGTCTTTTAAAGGAAATTTACAATCTTTAAACTTATAATAGCAAGCATGATGTTTTTCTCAGATTATTTTTCTTCTCTGTTACAGGTAGATCGCAGAGATGAGTCCCCAGATAGTAGCGGTTTTAGGTCTCGCCCTAAGCCTGGGGCTGGGAGTGAGTGGTTTTCCTGCCGAGCAGCCAGAAACCGGGAAGCACTGGGTCGTCATTGTGGCCGGATCGAATGGCTGGTACAATTACAGACACCAGGTGAGAGTGGTCCTGGATCTTTGAGGTGGAAAAAGTACATGGGTTTTTCCAAACTGTTAGTCAGTTGTCATATCTGAAGTCTTTTTAGATTTTTATTGTGTTTTATTTGTATGTGTGTGTGTGTGTGTGTGTGTATAGGCCGATGTGTGCCATGCATATCAGATTGTCCATAGGTATGGAATTCCCGATGAGCAGATTGTGGTGATGATGTATGACGATCTTGCTCAGAGCCCAGAGTGAGTATGACTTGTATGATTTAAACAAATTGGTTGTAGTGTAATGTAGTGGTTCTCAACCTTTTTGACTCCAGTGCCATCCTATGTCCAAAACAATATTCAAAGTCCCTCCTATCTAAGCTTATATGTACTCTGGTACTTTAGTTTTATGCACTTTAAATGCACTTTAATCTTGTACATCATTTTTAGTGTTTGTTTGTTTTTGTTTTTTAGTATGTTAATTAAGTGAGTTTAGATTTAGTATATTAACAATTTAAATAATTTTAAGACTTATTGGGGCCCCCCATGTTTGAGAACCACTGGTATAGTGAGATCTGGACTGGTAACCCAAGAGATATTGGATTAAGCCTAGTAAGAGATTCATGACCTGCAGTGCCTTTGGTCAAATGCACAATAGTGATTGAAGAACAAGCACTTTACCCCACATAGCCTCAGATTGTAGAAAATGTGCTGTTAGCTGTTTCAGATTCAAAAAAAATATTTGGGTAATTTCTCACCAACACAAAAATGAGCACTTCCCCTAAATCGTTTTGTTAAAGTGGTGACTTCCAAAGGCAGACATGAAAAATTATTTCAATCATGACATCTCTTGAAAGATTTTAGCATGGTGATGGATATGACAATGTTAATGTATTTGGTCTTGGCGGAATAGATCTGCTACGCTGCTGTTGAATTGCTGCTGCTGTTGGTTATTGCTGTAGTTGTAGATTATTGCTGCTGCTGCAAGCAAGTACAGGAACTTGCTACTGCCAATGCATATGGCGATACGGTGCCATGAGTATTTAAGACATACTGCTGCTGCACAAATAGCATATAAAATAACCCATAGCAGATCTATACAGGTGGAGCTGGGGAAGGTGGAGGGTTTCAGAGAAACTCAAGTGAATGCTAGCCAGCCATATACAGTAAATGCAAGGCAGTACACACACACACACACACACACACACATGCACATGCACACACAGAAACAAAGCTTTGAGTCAGTTCCTTTGCAGAAGTCACAAGTATCTAATTTAACCACCAGAAGATTTAAGTGTGCCACCAGGAAAAATGGATGAATTGTAACATGACAGAAGAAAAGGAAAAAGAAAAAATATATATAAATTGATTGGAAGTTGGACAGCTGTGACATTTATTGCTTTAGTGGCTTTTTTATGAATTCATATGTAGGTCAGGTGTTCCAGCTAAATTAACTATGAAAGAGAGATGT